GCTTGCTTGGAGCAACTGTAAAATCATTCTCGTTTTGCTGCACCGCCCTGACAAAATGCAGATATATATATTGTCATTCAAGTTGCTAAAGGGTCAACACCATTAAAGTGGATGGTCCTAGTGTGACAGATTTAAAAAAACAAAAACAAAAAAACAAAAGTAATTTAAATTTGTTCATCCTAATTGTCAGGAGGTCTACCTGGCTGGCACACCTTTTAATAAATAAATACATTTTGTAAACCATCACAATGTAATAGGTAAAAGTGGCTATTAATGGCATGATTGGCCTGCCACAGCCTGCCACCATCATCCAGCTTGCTTGGAGCAACTGTAAAATCATTCTCATTTTGCTGCACCGCCCTGACAAAATGCAGCTAATTTGACCATTGAAGTGCATTTATTAAGTAAAAGTTCAACTGAGACACACCTTTGCTATAATGTCGAGCAAACAAATAATTGTTTTAGGTGCTTATCTTGTTAAATTTTTAAGAAATGTACAGCGTTCCTCCTTCCTGAATTCCTCCCTCAGAACGCACTCCCAGAGCACCGACGCAACAAATTCTTTTGAAAGTGAAGCTGATTTGACTGTCAAAAGTGCATTTATTAAGGAAAAGTTAGACTGAATCAAACCTTTGCTATAATTTCAAAAAATCAGATCATTGTTTTTAGGTGGTTATCTTGTTAAATTTTGATGAAATGCACAGTGAGTCTTTCCGTGCATGCGTCTATTTCCACGTATCAACTTTTGAACTTTCGCATCTGATTTGACCGTCAAAGTGCATTTATTAACAAAAAGTTAGACTGAGACACACCTTTGCTATAATTTTGAGCAAACAAATAATTGTTTGTAGGTGTTAATCTTGTTAAATTCTTGTTAAAGTCCTCTTGTGCACACTACCGCGGCCGCCATTTGGCAGCCAATCGATTTTTGGCACAACACCGGCCCACATTTCTGGGTTGTCATCGGTGACGTGTAACAAACGCGTCAGCGCTGATGCATAATAGATGTGACGTATACGGCGACGCAACGCATTTATGGATTTTTCCACTTTATTAGATATGTTTGGACTAATGCGACTTATAGGGCGATGCGACATGTACAGTGGAAAATACGGTAGGCGTGCACTATCAGGTGCCAGTGGAAAAAAGAAAACAAAAAACATTCAAGACAATTACAATATTTCCAATTCTCTCAGTGAAAATGCAAAAATTACTGCCTATCTGTATGTTTGTCAGGGAATTTTTGGTCAAAGGTTATGTATGTTTTTATCACTATGGCGGAGAACATTCTTCCCCTCTGCCATGAGAACAAGAAGTCCAAAACAAGCTGAAACTGTCTCCCAAGACACTATCTTATCTCTGCCCATGAACCATATGTTGGGTAAAGGGAGAGTGCTGCAGCTGTCTTCAAGGACACATCCTGAACTCTGTGAACTCGGCTGAGCTAGAAGGATACAAAAGTGAACAGATAATGTGACTTGTGGCTTATTTCTGTGATTGATTTTCATGTGTATACATCTATGTATGTATATTCATGTAATCTTGAAGTCTGACTTTGCAAGTATAAATACCTGTTAAAAATCTTCTCCTGCCATCGAGTGCGGTTCTTTTGGGTAAACAACGTTAGAGACATTTTCTCCAACGATGTTATTGTTCATACAAGACATTCAAATATTGTAATTATTAGAAAATATTTTACTGTCCTAATACACATTACAAACAGAAAAACAACTGCTTTTCTTTGATTTGTGTTATGATCATTGCCACATTTATGAAATGCCACTAAAACTTGTTGTAGTGTGGGTTTGTTATGAATACCCACATGTGGGAGCATTTGAGAGGCCTGAGGTGGGTGTTTATATTTGTATTCTCAAACGAAGGGTTGGAAAATGACCTGTCTCCTATGATTACATCCTGACTAAGTGGAAGTGACGAGGTAATTGTGAAATCTATTTAAAAGAATTGTAGTCCGTCTCGCTGTCTCAGTATTTCTTCCTTCCTCTCCTGGTGCTTCTCTCTTTTCAGGTCATTAGTCGATTCTCCTTTTCTGCACCTACTCTTTGTCGTCTCATTCACGCGGCCGTGTTCCTGTTTTTTCTCTCAGTCTGTTTTGCTTATTTTATTTTTACTTGTTTACGTCCTTCTAGCCTTTAGGGGATCACATTTCTTGCTCTCTGTCTGGGAGCAACATGTACTATTCTGAATCCTCTGCGCTCTCAGAAGAAGTGTGTTTATACAAAAATCCAGCATCAGATCGATCCTGTGATGTTGCTCAGATCAATACCACAGAGAATGTCACAGTTCTGCTAGAAAAAAGAAAAAAAAAAGAAAGATGATTCTTTCTTACCTTTTTGTATTTCACATGTTGGCGTCTAGTTTGAACTTGTCACTTGTTCTCTCTCGCACACAGTGGCGTCCATTCCTCCCTGGTTTGAAATATGAAGTGATCGACTCGGCCTACATCTCCCTGTACACAGGTAAGAGCTGTTCATTTCATTTCTCCGAAAGATTTTTTTGACAAATGTTTTGAACTTAAATGATCACTCAATGTCCAAGGTGATGCAGCGATAACGTTTTTGCCCATATTAGTGTGTTTATGTGTGGGGATTTGTTAGTCTGTAGCATTAATTCAATTCAGTTTATTTATATAGCACCAATTCACAACAACGTTGTCTCAGGGCACTTTACAGAAACATACATATATATAAAAAGCCGTTGAATCTTCACTTCGTCACAGTTTCCCAGTCTGAGCAAGCACAGTGGCAACAGTGGAAAGGAAAAACTCCCTTTTAAAAGAAAGAAACCTCCAGCAGAACCAGTCTCAGGACGAGCGGCCATCTGCTTCGACCGGTTGGGTTTGAGAGGACAGGAAGTAGAAATAGACGAACACAGAATGGCAGGTCAAGGTGCAGGTGCAGGTGAAGCTGAAAGACAAAAACACATGTCAAGGATAGAAAAAATAATTACAAATACAAAACAGGTTGAGCAGAGTAAGTAAAGACTGTAACATAGTGAAGCAATGTGGTCAGTTTGTCCTCCAGCAGTCTAAGCCTATAGCAGCATAACTAAGGGATAGCTCAGGAAACCCAAATCAACCCTAACTATAGGATTTATCAAAAAGGAAAGTCTTAAGCTCAGTCTTAAAACTAGACAATGTGTCAGCCTCATGGACAGAAACTGGAAGTTGGTTTCACAAGAGAGGAGCCTGATAACTGACAGAGCTTCCTCTCATTCTGCTTTTGATTTAGCAAAATATCTTATGAACCACTGGACATAAGTGGACAAAATAATCACTAGATGTGAGTCTACAACTCCTTAATACTTGGAGTCACTTCAATTCAAAATGTCTGCCACAGCTTTTTGACCTTAGCCAACACAAAAATGTCTATATCTTGTTTAATTGTACAGATTTTGCGCTAAAATCTGTTAGTAGACGAGAGCCATTCTGTAGCTCACAAATATCTACATAAACTATGAGATCATGTATATGTTCATTTGCAATGTTCAACCAAAATGTTTAAATCTAAAGAAGATCTTTGTTTAAAACTCTGGCATGAAAGACAAAGGTCTGTATGAAAGAATTATGTAACCATTACGGATACCCAGATATACGTAAGGACAAATGAGAACAGAGACCAAGACCAGTATACACATACATACATACACACATGCACATATATATATATATATATATATATATATATATATATATACTATTATACTATTTTTTCAGTGTTTTTTGTTTTACTTAAAATAATAAAATTATAAAACAGTAACTTGTAGTTTACCTCACAACCTCTCCATTAATTTTACTTTCTAAAAAACTATGCTAAATAAACCTTGTAGTTTAGCCCTATTTTCTCATTGGATAGTTGCCGATTTCTTTTAGAAACACATCAGACCCTGTCCATGTGGGGTAAAAGGTGTTATTTGCAGCAAAGATAAGAACACTACCTCCTGAGTGGATGCTTAACTCCTGTAGGGCTGAGAACAGGAATATGTCACCAGGAGTCAGTTACTGTAAACAGGGGAAACTTCCAGCTGCTCCAAAAAAATGATGTGCGGAGTTGTTGCTTGGATGTATGCCAAGCCCTGCCATCTTGTTTATGACAAGCTGTGACAGAGAAGAATGAGGCCTCGTGCATTAGATGAGGTCACTCACTGGATTCGAGCATTACCATCTCATCATCTCCCACAACCTGTCCTCCCCCCTTTTTTTCCCTATATGTCACACCCTGCTGCTCACTAGGTCTCTCCATGTCCTCATTCTGGAAAGTATTTGATGTTTGAGAAGAACTTTTATAGACTATTCTCAGAGAAACTTGTTCTCGCCTTAATTATTAAAACAGTATTTTCAAAGTGGCTGCACTGAAAAAGAAACAGTATTTGACTTGAGTTAGTAATTATATCTGTACTAAGAGTGCTTCATTAGTCTCTTTTTCACATTTTATGTTGCTTTTCTTAATGCATATTTTTAACACTGGACAGACTCACAGGAAAACAAGTTTAATCTGAAAAAATTATTCCTATTATTATTCAAATGAAGAACTGGTTTATGTAATAGTATGTTTTATTTGTTACATGAATACATAATAAAATTGCTAAATTATGTCTCTTGGGTGCAATCAAATTATATGTGTTTAATATATTATATGCAATTTATTATTTAAAATAAACACTGTTAAACTTGGGATAATTTTGAGACCACAAAATTTAAAAAATAACCCACACACATTGACATGGTATTAACCTCACCTCAGTACCTGCTTTCAACATGAACAATGCTCATTTTGAAAAAAAAAAAAAAAAAAAAGTGATGCAGATTTAAAGAGTAGATTACACTGTTTTGTTTTTGGCTTCTGTTCTTGTGATGAAGATGTAGGAACGCAGATACGGAGTGAGTCTCTAAGGGAAAGTTTGCATGTGGAAATCAGGAATATGATCAACAGAAACTGTATGGAAAGGAATTTAGAAAGGCTTATTCTGTGTGCTGTATGCACATAAACATTTGACCATCCTGTTAATTACAAAACATTTCTCCCATCAGGCCTTGCGCCTGACATGCCATTAATCACACTCTCTCTCCTCCCTCCCTGCTATTGATCGGTGTAATTATGACTGCCCTGCTCTTTAGTTTTTATTTACTTCCATTTTACTACCTCTTTCTTTGCCACACCTTTCACCCTCACCCTTCAATTGATTTTTTTCCTTTAAAACCTGTCAATATTGATAAAGATTATGCTTTTTTTGCTACTGGTAATAGTAAGAGGACCATGCTAGATGTTTTTTCCACTTCCAGATGAGTCTAGTCTGAAGATGAACACTGTGGACCACGTCCCTCAGACCCTGGCCAGTCACATCCGTCTCACTGAAGAGTCTTGGCCTCAGGGGCCAGAGGGAGGCCCCGTCATGCAACACGGAGCTGACATGTTGAGGCCAGATCCCAGGGATACATTCTATAGCAGTAAGGCTGTTACTCTTTTCGTCTGTTTTTTTTTTTTTTGGCCGTGTTTTTGTCTAATTAACTGTTCACCTCACAGCAGCCATCCATTTAGCTCTATGCAGACATTTATTAGTTTAATCAGCCCTGCTGTATTCCAATTTTTGTTTCCCCACATCTTCTTTTTAAGGTTCAACCATTTATTCACATATCTGCAGTTAAACCGAGTTCCAGCCAAGTCTTTCTTTGCCCAATCTTTCAAATTGTCTCTTTCTTCAGCCCCGATGATTGACGCCTCCCGCATGGAAAATGTTCTTCCAGCGTGTCTCTACTCTCCAACCTACGTAGTCAAAGACTTTCCCATCGCCAGATACCAGGGCCTGCAGTTTGTGAGTCACAAATGAATGACATCTGCATTGGTTTTGACTATTTAAGACAGGATTTCTTGTTACAAAAACATGCATGCTAGATCATTTTAAACTGGTTGAAAAGTTCCACAAATATTCACTGAAGTAGACAGAAAACAAAAGAAAAGGAGCAGATGAGCTAAGCTTATTTATGTTGGTTTGGACATCAACATATCATCCTTTTCTTTCTGTAAAAGCATAAAGATGGCAGGTGTTAAGCACTGCTCCCCCCTTTAGGACAGTACATTTTACTGCAGCAGCTAAACAGTGATGAGCTGCGGAAGAGTTATTTAATAGGACGAGTATTGCTTTAAAAGTGCAGCAGTTGAACAATGGTTTTAATTTAAATGTCATAAAATGATTGAAGCAGATAATAAACTTCTTTGACTGTTTACTGTGCATAAAGTGTTTGAATATCTTGGATATATTAACCTAGCAGCAACTATTTTTTTAGGTCTACTTATCGTTTGTCTACCCTAATGACTTCACGCGGCTCACCCACATGGAGAGGGAGAATAAGTGTTTCTACAGAGAGTCTCCTATCTACTTGGAAAAGTAAGTATTTAAAAAAAATAAAGGCAAACTAACATTTGTCTCTAGTTTTTATGAGCAACGGCACTGTTTATGTAGAAAAAGTGTTATTTTAAATAAAATTAGACGTTCACATTGTCACATATTGACATCTTATTAAGTCATTATACCACTTTGAACCTTTAGGGGCTCCGGTAGCTTGGTGGTCAGTGCTGTGGTCTTGCCATCCTGAGAATGGAGCCCAGGTTTAGGCCTGTTGCGATAAACAATAAATCAATTAATTGCATGATAAATTAAAATGATTGTCCTTATTTTCATATATCGGCTTTCTTTATCATTTCTTTGCGTCTCTCCCTTTCTACTGAAGACACTGGATGACAAAAAGCTCAACTCCGGTGCTCTTAACTGACCCCTCCCATTCTCTTTTTTCTTTAAAATCCATTTTAACCGTCCAAAATTGTGTTTTTGGATCGTTAAAAGCAGCTAAGATGAGAAACTAAGCTACGAGCTAAGCTAACAAGCTGACCTGAGGGAAAACAACTCCGTCTTGTCGAAGCTCCATAATTCACGATTGAAACTTGTGCCTTCATGTAAAAAGTTGTTTTTCTTTGCAAAAAGAAGCTGAGAACTTGTTTACTGATTTTTTTATTAAAAGCTTTGTGTGACAAATGCTATGCTAAAGAGCTCAAACCACACTGAGCAGCCGCCATTTTGAGAACCAAAGAGAGGCAACACAACCCAACAAACATTTCTTCTTAATTTTGACAGTAATTACAAATTATTGTCAAATTTCAAACAATATTATAGTTTATCACAATAATTTCTGAGACAATTAATCACGCAGCAAAATTTGTTATTGTGACAGGCCTACTAAGGTTGCTTCGGGAAGGGCATTCGGCGTAAAACAATTGCCAAATCTTTCATGCGAATTTGCTCACTGTGGCGAACCCTAGAGAAGGGAGCAGCCGAAAGAAACATACTTTTACTACTTTGAAACTTTAATCTTCAATTAAACTGTGTGTGTGTGTGTGTATGTGCATTGTCTTGTTTTGTTTGCCAGGTTTGGTTTCTACAAATACATGAAGATGGATGAGGAAGAGGATGACAGACCGTTCTTTTTTCCCAACCCAGATGGTAACTAATAATAAGCAAACAGAGTGATCCAAACTCCAATCCTGGACCCAAATTTGTATATTTGCACAAACGTACAGACTCTAACGACTTTGAATCTCCTTTGTGTCAAACCAGATTTCCTAGAGGAAGAGGAAGTAGTGGACACTGAGGACGAGGCAGAGATTGTTGGCACGCAGGCACCCAGAAAATCTTCTCACACAAGCCAAACCAGTCATACTTTCAGCCCATCCCATCAGCGCTCGCAAACAGGGCCTACTTCAGCTGGCAGGGAGGAGGAAGAAGAGGAGCAAGATCCAAAGGAAGAGAAAGAGGGAGTGGTTAATAGTATCATACATCAAAGAAAAAGGAAACAGTTTCCACACAGAGACAGACACATGGGGAGGGTTCTGGACAGAGACTGGGGAAGAGATCATACCCAGGGAAATATAAGACAAGACACTGGGAAGGAACCTGATGAGGATCATCTCAGGGGTCTTCAGCCTGATATGGATAGTGTGGTTCGGGGTCGCTCCTTGTCATGGATCCAGACTGGTCCATCAGACCAGGACCCAATCAAAAAGTCAAAAATTGCTGGGGAAGGTGTTGAGATACCACACAAACTTAGCAAGTCCTCACTGCTTTTCCCACAAAAGTCTTCCCTCTCTGCCCTTGCCAGCCGAGCCAAGCAGATCCTCAGCAACTCCGCCCATAGCAAACACCCCCCTAATAACAACAGCAACAAGCCTGCTGGCAACAAAAAGGAAAAGAGGGAGGAGAACAAGATCTACATCACTAGGCCCCGTCCTGCAAAGGAAAGAGAAAAAGAGAGGGAGCAGCGACGAGAGCGGAGGGAAAAGAGGGCATCTCACCACCCTAGAGAGATTTTCCCAGGGGTCTTTTTGTATCAAACTGGGAAGAGCACTAGACTGGTCAATAGGGGTCACAAAGGACATGGTGGGAGAAGTGTAACAGGGGTTAGACACCTTATTAGTGCCCCTCAGCTTTGGCCAAATCCCCCGACAAAGGAAAGTAAAGCATTAACCCACAATGGAAACATCAATATACAGAGTGAAACTGTACAGAGGTCTGCTAACAAAGCAGCAGCACCAAAACAAATGGAGAAAAATAAGAGGAAAAGGGATCCTCAAGACTTAAAAATTACTGTTAGAACTGACCTGCCCAGCAGTAGAGACCACCTGATTCCACGATCCTATCACCAAAATCTTGCTTCTACCCCAGCCACCACACTCAACTCTACAGAAAACACAATCCAGGGTCAGTTACGAGTCACTTCTTACCTCAGGACCTCGGTGATTACAGAGTCCCAGCAGCAACCAGAACCAGAGCTCAACCCTGCTGACATCGACCAGGATACAAACCGCTCTAATCCTGACCCCGACCCTGATCGGGAGCCAGAACCAGAGGAGGGGGAAATGTCAGACTACAGCTACGAGGAGGTGGAGGTTCGTCCAGGTTGGGCAGAGGAGAGCATCAACTGGCAGAGGACTTTCTCCGTTAATCCAATGGACTTCGAGCTGCTGCGCTCAGACTGGAACGACCTGCGCTGCAACGTGTCTGGCAACCTTCAGCTGGCAGAGAGTGAAGTGGTGGATGTGTTGGCGCAGTACATGGAGAAACTGAATGAACGCAACGGAGGGTAAGCATAAAAAGTGAATAATATAGGACAATCTGTTTTCCGGCTTACGGAAATGTAAAAAGTGAAGTAATTTTACCATAATTGCCATGCCCTGGTGCTGTTCCATCATATTAACAGTCCTCAGTGATTGGTTTACAACAAGGTCTGCAGTTTGTGATTGCAAGCCTTGATGTTATTTGCATGAAATAGCCTTTCTATTTTAATTTTTCTCCTTCATCAACCATGCCTCACAATGCCGCTGTTAATTAGTAGCAGCATACTTGAAGTTCTTTGACTAAACAGTTTAAAAAAAAACTGTGAAAAGGATTTGAGAAATAGTCCAAACATACAGCCTTCTTTTGTATCTGTGTGTTGTAGCCTGCCTTTGATTTTTTAAAAATATTTTCTACATGTTGTATGTGTATGTGCAGGATCTACACCCTGCTGCGAATCATCAACGTCGAGAAGAGGCGAGACTCAGCCAGAGGGAATCGTTACCTGGTGGAGCTGGAGCTGATGGAGAGAGGCCGCAGCGTGGTACGTCTTTCGGAGTACATTTACCTGCTGCTGCACCGCGGCAGGCAGGGAGAAGAAAGTCTCGAAAACACAGATTCTGCCCCGGCGTCTGCACCTGCTCCACTTCTCTCTTCGGCCACGACCAGCTTCACCACCCAAAAACCACCACCTTCTACCAAGTCCGCGGCACGTTCCGGAACAACACCGTGGAGCACAATCTATGCTAAGCCCCTTCTCTGTCAGCCGGTCATGCTGCAGTGGAGGAGAGATGTCATGGTGCACTTTGTGGTGCCAGGTTAGTCAAAGGTTATTTTATTCTTAAAATTGCTCAGCTGGTGATTAAACAAAACGAAAAGGCTGCTAAAAAAAAAAAAAATCAGTTTTTTAAAGTTTCATCTTGCTTCTGTCGTTCAGTGAAGAATCAGGCACGCTGGGTGCAACAGTTCATCTCTGACATGGAGAATCTTCACCAGCAAACAAAGGATGACAACTTCAGCATCATCATCGTTGACTTCGAGAGTGAAGACATGGACGTGGAGCAGGCTCTTAAGGAGAGCAGTGTGCCACGGTGGGTGGAAGCTACGAGCAGCCATGTCGTAACAAACCACACAATATTCCTCAGGTGGTAATGTGAGAGTTTTATGTGCACATTTGTTTTTACAGATATGAGTATCTAAGGAGGGAAGGGAACTTTGAGCGCTCTTCAGGACTGCAGATTGGAGTGGACACCATTGAGGTCAGAGAAACAAACACACAGAGGAAAGACAACAAAGTTCAGTCATGTCATCTGGACGTTTTTTTTTTGTTTTTTTTTTATGTCGACTGCAGAGTGGTGCTATTTTTACTTTTAGTCAGACAGAAAAATAATTAAACTAATAAAAAATGCCACCTAGTTAAATTAGGAATAAAATTAGGTCACACATCGCAGGGGTGAGCCGTGTTTCACAAACCAGACGTTAGAGGTTTACAATAATTTATTACAGCTAGGAAAACAAATGCTGCAAGTAGTCCAAATATTAAAACCTGGCCAAATTCGGTATAATAAAAGCATTAAAAGGGCATCTCAGTCAGTAGCAGTCTGAGGGGGAAAAGATACAGTCTTAGCTGAAAGGGGAGTGGTCCTCTCGCCCTTGCACGGTGCTCCCAGGAGGTCCCGAGTCTCGACCTTCAGTGATCTCCAGGCACTCTATCCAGAGTCCAGTGTCCTTCCACGGCCTCGATCTCACCCGGCGCTCATACTTCCTTGAGTCCGGCGTCCCATAGCGACCTCAACCTCCAGCGATCTCCAATGCTCGGTCCTCCGCCCTCGATACCGGACCCGGACGACTGCACCCTCCAACCGCGCACAATCCACCGTGCCGACCAGCTTAGCTTGTTTCCTGGGTGCATCCTTACCCCCACTAGTCTCCGCTCTTAATCACTGTGCCTTTAGTTTCTGCAAATCTGCTGCTCTGCTGACTGGCTTGTCCCCGACTGTTGCCCCTCGGTTGTGGTTACGCACCTGGCCGTTGCGCTCCTCGGCCTCCTGCCCCTCGGCGGTTTCTGCGCGCGTATGCTATTGTGTCCGTTCTGTCGCGCCCTTGTGCTCATTGTTCTGCACTTTTTATTTCCCCATTCCTGGCTTTCATGTCATTCCAGCTGATGGGGAACACCTGCGCGAGCTGTCATAGTCTCTGGCTGTGTCACAGGTGGCAGCCTCAAAAAAATTAACAGATGATCAGCAAGTTTAAACATGCAAATAAAAACACAAAAAGCCACATTACTACATTGAGACGTTTCATCCTTCATCCAAAGGACTTCATCAGAGCACAGATTATTGATTATGAACTTTGTTTTGAACCACTTTGGCTATAGCTGCCTCAAAGGAGCCGACCGGGGAGAGGGCAGGCCCCAGAGACCATCTTATCACCATCAAACTGGTTGGTCCATTATGGGAGTGCGCTGCTTGTGGGACTCAGTTTGTTGTGTCTCTTCGGACTGATGAAGTCCTTTGGATGAAGGCCAAAACATCTCAACAACAACAAAAAAAGTCCAGATGACCTGACTGAACTTTGTTGGATTTTCTATCTACATAGATTATTGAGCATGAACTTTGATGTTTTGATGTCTGAAGCACTTTGCCTATGGCTGCCTCAGAGGAGTCAATGGGGGAGGGGGCGGGCCCCAGAATCAGAAATCTTATCACCGTCAAACTGGTTGGTCCACTATGTGAAGGTGCTGCTTGTGGAACTCCGTTTGTTGTGGCTCCTCGGACTGATGAAGTCCTTTGGATGAAGGATGAGACGTCTCAACAAAAAAAAAAGAAACCATCCAGATGACCTGAATGAACTTTGTTGGATTTTCTACCTGGATTATTGAGCATGAACTTTGACTCAGAGGAAAGACAACAGTATGTGAGGTGGCAGAAAATAAAATGCTCGCTGACGGTCAGACACTCTTGCTGACCACATGACCTTTACTGGCTGACGGACAGATGGAAAAACTGATGCATAATGAATCTTTCACTGCTGGGCCAGTCTGTTGCAGGACGTGGCTCACCCTAATCTTTGACTCCCCTCTTGTTTTTCTTGCCCGTCTCCACCGAGCAAAGCTCAGGATGATGGGGAATCACTTAGACAGAAACCATCATATGCTCTGTTTTGTGTATGCCATACCTGCCACATCCACTCCTTTTGGCAGCTTATTTGTGTGCATGCACCCTTTCTCAGTCTCTGACGCTTTCTTAGTCTCATACACACACACACACGCACACACACACTTGAGGCTCAGAGCGGTTGAAAATCTGGACAGACACTGATCCGTCAGTTGAGTGTCAGTGCTGTCAGTGTGGGATGACAGAGCTGTCACTCATGCCTAAATGACTTGCGGGCTCTTTAACTGAAGATGAGCCCCTGGTGCTGAGCTCAGACTTCTCTCCTCTTTTTAATCCTAAAATCCTGTATTGGGCTCATGTTTACATCCATTCATCTTCCACCAGCTCATCCAGCGTATTACCTCACACACTTTCCCTGTTAGCAGAAAAAACAGAAATGTAAACATGATTCAAATGCAATGATTGTGAGCAATGTTGTCGTTTGTTTTGTTTCCTTACAGGACAGCCACAGCATTGTGTTTCTGTGCGACCTGCACATCCACTTTCCTCTCAACATTTTGGAGAGCATCAGGAAGCACTGCGTGGAGGGCCGCCTTGCGTTTGCTCCCATCGTCATGAGGCTAAGCTGCGGTAGTTCTCCACTGGAGCCTGATGGTAACGCAACAAAACAAATGTTGCATGCATGTGTGCACATGACATATCATACCAATGTATATTAACAGATTATGTTTGTTGTCTTTGCTTTATGTCTTCCAACTCTTTGTATTTGACTCGTGCGTTGTTGTTTTGACTCACAGGTTACTGGGAAGTAAATGGCTTTGGTCTGTTTGGAATTTATAAGTCCGACTTTGATAAAATCGGAGGAATGAACACAGAGGAATTCAAAGACCGCTGGGGTGGAGAGGACTGGGAGCTGTTGGATAGGTAAGTGAGCTGAACTCAGTGGCACTTTAGTAAAGCTCAAAGAAAACAACATGTTGCTGCAGTCCAAGGGTTTTTTTTGGCAACACTTTACAATAGGATACACAAAATTTGCTTAACTACTGGGGAACGCCTCAGGAACGAATCAGGAACTAATTGGTAGTTAACCAGTATTCACTGGGGAACACACAGCCAAGCCTTATTAGGGGACTACTGGTTTGTTACCTTGTAAATGAAGATGAACTTATCAAAAACTAATGGGTAGTTACCAAGGAAAACAAAGAGGAACAAATCAGGAGCTACCATACCATACCTTTATTTATAAAGCACTTAAAACAGTGACAAGGCCAACCAAAGTGCTGTACAGACAGAACAACAAGTAACACACAAAGCAATATACAAAATGAGGTAAATCAGAATATAAACATAAAAATGATGCAGATAATGACGACAAACCAGTGTGGAGCATACAGGATCAAAACACAGATCTGGTGTTGAAAGCCACCTAATAGTAGTGGGTTTTTAAACGGGACTTGAAAACCGAGAGGGAGGGGGCCTGTCTGACAAAAAGAGGTAACTCGTTCCAAAGTCTGGGTCCTGCTACAGAGAAGGTAATGCTAAAAATGCTATAAACTAAGAAAAGCTAATGAGCAGTTAACCAATAGATTTACAAAAGAGAAAATCCAATAAAATCAATAATCAATAGGAAGCAGGTTTTTGACTATTTCAAGCTGTGACCTCACTGGTGCAGGGTTTATTCAGAACCCACATGGAAAATTTCTCCTCTGTTTCTGTGGTAACAAACCAGTAGTTCCCTAATAAGGCTTGGCTGTGTGTTCCCCAGTAAGTACTAGTTAACTACTCATTAGCTCCTGATTTGTTCCTGAGGTGTTCCCTACTAGTTAGGCAAATTTTGTGTATCTTATTGTAAAGTGTTATCGTATTTTTAAACAAATATAAAAATGAAACTGGACAAACAAAAATGTGCTAAACCAGGTTGAAGAGCGTTGGACCTGGAGCAGAAAGAGAGGCTTGAATAAAGTGTCCAGAGCTCGCCATGAATACATTGTAGTGTTTTTGTTTATAGCCAGAACCAAATGGAACTGAAAAAAAAAAACAGAAGCAGCTTTGATATCACACAGATCCCCTCGTCTGCCTTTCATTTTGTATTATTGCACCCATAGGCAGTGCTGTAATGATGAAGTTTTACAATGATGTCAACAATGTTTTCACATGTAGTCAAAATTCTATTATCATTTTAAAATCTGACTTTATTTGCACCATTGTGCGGTTGAGCATGTGCAGAAAAATATCTGTTTGCATTGCTTTTTCCTCTTAATTCTTAAAAAAAAAAAAATACAATTTCAGCATCCAATCAGAAACCTTTACCCAGCTGACTATGCTACTAGTAGTTTATTATTTTACCAAATGTTTAATTTATCTTAGCTTAAAGTAGAGACCAATACTGTCTAATTTTGAAATGACAAACTGCCATTTGTACAATCAGTTTTTTAATTTGCTAATAGTGATGCTAATGAATAGATTTATATTTATTTTTGTGAATTGCTTTAAAGGAAAAATGTTATTAGAAAGAAGAAAATGTCCAAATTTCAACATGTAAAAAAAGACAGTTTTTGTCGGAAAGGTATCAAGATGTTAAAATCTTCATATGCTGGACTTACTGTTACCCTGTCTGCCTTCTAGGGTGCTGCAGAACGGTTTGGAAGTTGAAAGATTGCGCTTGAGGAACTTCTTTCATTACTACCACTCCAAAAGAGGCATGTGGAACACTCAGAACAAAAAAACCCAGAAAGGATAGCGCCTCTTTTTGGTTGGAGGGTCCTAAATGGATCTGCAGGCCCACTGCGTGTGCTGGGGAGACAGAGAGACCAGTAGGAGCTCACTCACTGCCTGAACTCTGTCTTTTCTAAACAGGCTCCTGTCGAAGACTCCTCTGTTTTTGCTGTCCTGACAGATGTTTGTCTGCACAAGGAAACGGAGTCCAAATGCAAATTTTTTTGGTTGTGCAGT